ATAAAATAATGAAAAAATGTCACAAATGAGGCATTTGTATTTATTACTATATATTTAAATATGATTTATACATTCTGCATTTTCATAATTTAGCATTGAATGTTTGAAAGTTTTTATAACAGGTCATTAACATGAATCCCCAAGTCAATAAACAAAACTCCAGTTTTAGTCAAGAAACTAATGTTCCCTGCATTTAAAGCCACGGTAGCTAAGTTGTTGATAGCCCATTTTCCTAGAACCTACACTTATGGGGAAAAGGGCCTATGGATTTATGAATATTCTCTTTCCAGAAATAGAAGAAAATCTAATCTTGCTCAGTTTAGTTACTGTTATTTATTGATTAATTCTATGTAAGGGACATTTAATGGCAAGAACAACACAGTACTCTCAAAGGGTCTTTTTCCATTCTCCATTCCTAACAGTGTGACATTGGACAACTTGGTCATTAACCCCAGAGTCTTAATTTCTTCATCTGTAAAATAATACTGATCTAATTTATGAAATTGTTATACCATTATAATTAATTCTTATGGAAGTATTTTTTTTAAATGTAAAATACCATATAAATATTAATTCTACTTGTAAGAAATACTAGTATGATTTCAGATTACTTTGAACAAAATCAAAATGTACCATGTAGAATCTTAAATTATTCTTTCTGTATTTTCCTGTTTATGGGAAAGTTTTAAATTAGTTTTCTCTGATAACTGTCTGGTTAATAATGCTGTTGGCAGGCTTTCTGCTATCATGATGTACATGTCTCAGGATACCCAAGTTAGAGCCGGGATTCATAAGAGAAAGTCTGCGCTGGAAACCAGACGACCCTTTTCTGAGGCAGCCTGTGGTTCCCTCTCCTTTCCTAATTAACTTGAAGTGATATGTAGTCTTTTTCCCCCCACCTTGGTATCTCTCTTGTATTTCTGAAAACCTGTTAGGTCTCTGTCAGTAAGCCCTGTCAATCACTTGTCAAGGTCAGCATAATTTATTTTAAGGTGAACATTGGGTTGAAGGTGTTAGGAAAGTAGGAGACTTAGAAACCAAAATATTTTCCTATGCCCCCAATTTATTTTCAGCTCAAAACAGTATCACAGAATATTCAGATACCTTCACATTATCCTCGGCCATTGTTTGTGAAGTTCTCCCCCTAGATATCAGCACACCTTTGTTCCCTTCCACAGGACTGGGGGAGGGGAGGTTTGAAGTAGCTTCACAGGTCTCTTTGTAACTTTCTTCTGGCAGAGACTTGGTTCTGGTAAGGTATATTTATATTACTATTTTTAGAGCACATTCAGTGTCCAACATCACAAACAGTGATAATTTGTGAATTGGGATTATTTTCACAGAAACTTCTCAGTATTATGTACCCCATTAGTTTAAATAATGTTAAATGTTTTATTTACTTGAAAACTATATTTAGTAGCATGGTTTCTTTCTATTTACTTTTTCTTTTTT